CCCCGTGTGGTTATTTCAGCCTAAAAAAGCTACTCTTAGCTGTTACGTGCTTTTGGAGAAATAACCATTTTCAGCTGAAACAGTCATGACTTCAGCCACAATCCATTTAGCTTTAGCTCTGCTCTTCTAGGTGAATAAATACTTGTCATTGTGCACTGAATGCTGGCCAAAGATGACGCGACAGTGCACACAAGCGATTCCTCTGGGATAACGGGTTGAAAGTTCATCATTCTGAGCTCTTATTTTTAGCCCAGAGCAACAGAGGACTGCTTCCCTTCAAAATCTTAGAATGAGAATTCTCCTTTAGGAGGCTGGTTTGAAAAAGAAAGCTCCCTAGCAAAGGGCTCTGATAAGCTAGATTTTGATTCTCCTGGTTATTGCCACACAGCTCGAGCCAATATCAATAACGGTGTGAGTAGGGAGAGATGCAGTGGTGCGCATCAAGCTGCCAGTCAGACCTTTCAGCTTCACTCCAGAAGTGGCTGTGCCTTATTATTCTGCTTGTTGAACGTGAGTAGGAGCACTCAAAAATACTCTCATGTCCTCTAAGATAAGCTACATCGGAGATGGGAGAAGTTTAAAACTTACAGAATTTTTTTCCCCCGGTTAGCACAAACATTACATTATTGAGAGAAAAATGTCAAGACGAGAGTGTCTGGAAGATGTCTCATGTGCAGAACTTAGCGTTTTTTGAAAATATCTCAAGGAAATTCAAATTATCCATAACACACTTAAATCATCCATAACACTTTCAAGCAGAACAGTGAGTCATGAACATAGAGGAGTGTATCTGTGCAGTTAAATTCCTCCATGGTTTAATTACATGACTGCAGCTGATGTACTCTAGGTATGAAATCAGCTCACTAGCCAGTCTGACATTTACTAAGGTACTGAAGATATGATGTACTTTAAAGCCATCTCGGATGCCATGCCAGTTCAACTGCACTGTTAAAAACCCAAGGGTAGGGAAATGGAATCGCTAAGGAACCAAAAGAAATCCTTATTGAAGGCATCCTAGTTTGGAAGCAGGAGCCTGCCTGCTTTACTATAGCAGTGGAGCTAGGGACGCAGAGCAGAGCTTTGAATAGGTAAATAATCGTCATAAAGCAGCTCAGAAGGCATGGCGGAGTCCGTCATTTCTGCCTTCCTCACCTCAAGTTTTAGTTACTTTAAGACACAGCTACTGTGTTTGCTGATATACCAAGCATTTTGTCTGAGAACAGTCGCTATCTTCTCAACAGCCTCTGTCTTCCCTGGGAATGGTGAACAGCCCTCATTTGTGAAGTCCCTAAAAAATAATAAAAACAACAGACGAGGCAGGCAGGTGAACACCGGACCGTGTTCTTTAAAGTCAGTCATTTCAATGCGTCTGTCACCCCAGGTGGCTTATGCTGAAAGACAAACTATCACAAATATACTGCTAGTTCTGCAGCACCCAGTTATTTTAAGACGTCCTTCTCACACTGCAAACTAACTTTGAACAGGAGCAGTAAAGCACTCTGGTCACTTCAATCTGCCTTGCCAAGGGATTTATTTGGACACTCCCAAAAGGTTAAAAATCAGTTTGGTCACCTTAATTCTCACAGTTAAAGCCTGAACGCTTATCCAGGAAGAAGAGACGAGATACTCCCAGTCATATTGTTTCCCTTTCCCTGAGCTTTACATGAGCAATTTGAGGCACGTCTTCCTCCCTTCTGGAAAAGACCCAAATCCACAACAGGTTTTTCATCAATCACCTCTCTAGGGTTTCTCTCTTCACACTTCTCCTCCCTATCACAACGCACACGGTCACTCCAAGCATGTCAGTAATGCCAGACTGGTATCGATGTACCAGCAGGTATCGGAAACCAGAATTGGAATTGCCTGGGCCTGCTGGAGCCACCTGTGGTGATATCAAGCATAAAAGTAACATGAAGGAGGACATAGTATCAAAGACTAAGATTTTAAGTACAGCTAAATAAGATTGAATAGGTATTGTGGGCCAATAAGTATTGGATTGGAGATTTATCTAGGCAATTTTTTTTTAGCACTTCTGCATAACCTGAAGACGCTATGTTATTTAATCCAATAGTTCCGAGCCAAACAGAAAATTTAAAGAGCGTTTATATTCCAAATGCCAGTTCTTGTAAAACTAACTTCAAAACTTACATTGCTGCACCTTCAAACAAAAAAAAATTTGTACACCCAAAAGCACATACTGTTCACTGCATTAAATACAGACCCCAGCTAACAGCATCTGCTTGAATTGAACAAAACCACTCTAGCAGAAAACTGAACATTGAGAAACCTGATGCCATTGTCCTGCATACGCCAGAGAAGAGGAACCTCACAGAAGAAGCCTGGGCTGAGAAAAAAAATCCAATTAGTTCAGCAGATAGACTGAGCACCCTTTGGGAAAAGGACTAATGAGCAAAGTCCACCCTTTGGGAGAAGGGCTAAAGAGGAAAGTCTTGACTACAGACATGACAAGTTTCCAAGGCCTACTGATAATCTCCTTGGTGGGCAACTCCAGCAGCCCTTTTTCCTTATTTGTGAATTCTCCCTGTCCCTGCTGACCCACCTACGTTGTGATTGCATGGCAAAAGAAGGATCCTTACCTTCCCGGCTCTGCAGTCCAAGCTACCTCAGGGCCAGACATGCTACTCATTTCCTTATTGAAACTTGTCAGCTGGAGTTGACTCAAGTCTTAAAATGGTCACTTTGGAAGTCCTTTTTCCACCCTCCCCTCCTGCTCCCCAGGGCTCCTCCCCCAACCACATGTTACCTGCTTCCCTTTGTAGAACTGCTATGCCAAGGCAGCAGCATTTGCTGTGGTGGGGTAGGAGGGGGAAAAGGAACATTGACAGCTGCAAAAAGGAAGTGGAGAGCAAGGAGCCTTCCTTCACTCTGATTTTTACATGACCCCAGAGACCTGAGGGCTCACAGATGTGCAGCAAATGCATGAACTGCTCACAGAGCAGTGCTAGATTGAAGATCTGTACTGGATACAGCATTTCCATTTCATCACTGGATCACACCTGCAATGAAGCCTAATTAGGCCTCCTCCTTAGCCCTCCACACTGGCCATGCCAGCAAAGCTTAGCAGATCAGCACAAGTAGAATAAGATTCTTGGAAACGCTTGCAGATTGTGATGCATTTATTTTTCTCCTATGAAGGCAGGATGATGAAACACAAAGAGAAATGTAGTTAGACCAACCTACTCAGGCTCCCAGATGAGACACTACTAGAGGCTGAGGTGCAGTATCTATTTCAAGATAAGGGAAGGCTGACAATGTTCAGATATCAACATTTTGCAGTGGACAGTGTTTCAAATATTTGCACAG